ATCGGAAAACAAAAAGATATTTACATGACAATTCATCACAGTAGCAAAATTACAGTTATAGAGTAGCAACGAAAATAATGTTATGGTTGGGGGTCACCACAACATGAGGAACTGTATTAAGGGGTTACGGCATTAGGAAGGTTGAGAACCGCTGCTCTAGAGCATAAATCAGGTCTTATTTCTTCGGCATCTCAGCACACTGCCTGGCACACAGTAGGCCCTCGATAAATTTCTGGAATGAATAACCGACTGTTGTGGGTCCCTAGGAAAAGTGACAATGGCGAACCCTGGCGCTGATAGGATGATGTTTTATACTTGAAAAGGACTTCTTTCTTTCACGTGCATTCCTTGCTTTGATCCTCCTAACAGCCCTTCAGTGTGAGAGCTGTTTTCTCACATCTGCCCTCAGTGGAAACTGCTGATGACCCTCCCACCTGACACCTCCCCTTACATCACATTCACTTCCTTCCATTACCCCCCAGGGAACTGGGCACACGTGGGTGGGGACATTGTCCTCTTCCCACTGTGAAGGTCATTTTGCGGCACAGAGCCCACACGGTTTGGAACTGGCCACGTGAGCATCTATTGTCTGCACCCCCAAGCATTTGGGGGTTCAGAAATAGCACCGCTGTGAGCAGGAGAAGGCCACTCACCCCACCAGCTCCCACATGAGTGGGGGTTTGTTTGTTTGTTTGGTGGGAACCAAGGTGCTGCTCTCATTTCAGTTTGTGCCATTTCTCATCAGACATTATAGCCTCCTCTGAACTCTGGCAGGAGCCTGAATTCCTGACACGCGAGACACGCCGTCACTGAAGGGTCCCCACTGGACTGCACACACGTGTAAATTTTACACCTATTATTTCCGCATGAGAATTCAAATTCTTAGTCCAGTTAGTCATCTGCAAACCACAAACATATGTCACTGAGGAAACCACAAGCCTTCAGAGACCATGTGTAATGGTTCCCCAGTCTCCAGGCGACTCCAGCTGCTGCATGCCACACCAGACGGCCCCCGTTGGCGCGTGGAGGCCATCCAGGCTGACACGGCGGGTCCCTGGAACTGATGGCTTTCAACTGAGCATCTATTTCCTTTTCTTTAGAGCTAAGTTTTCTTTTTCTTTTTTATAAATTTTATTGGGGAACAGCCATGGTTATTGGTTGTGCATCGCTTTCATGCTATGATGGCACAGTTGACTCTTTAGGGAGGGTGCAGCTCACAGTGGCCCATGTGGGGATCGAACCTGCAACCTTGGTGTTATCAGCACCATGCCCTCACCAACTGAGCTAACCGGTCACCCTCTATATCCTTTTCTACATGGTTCTTCCCGGATCCATGGCCTTTCATGAGGCTCTTTCGATAACATGTTTGGACCCAAAACGCAATA